GAACATGACGTTAGGCACTGTCTTGATGTGATGCATATAGAGAAGAATGTGTGTGATGCACTTGTGGGAAAGCTGATGAATATTCAAGGCAAAACAAAGGATGGAAAGGGTGCACGGTTAGATTTGGAAATGATGGGGGTTTGTCAAGAATTGTGGGCTCAGGAAAAGGTGAGAAAGGGAAAGGAACAGGAAAAGGAAAATGAAATGAGTTCGAAAAAAGGAAATGGGAAGAGCAAGGGAAAGGGAAAGGGAAAGGGAAAGGGAAAGGAAGGGAAAGGCCACGGATGCGTCAAAGAAGAAATATGAGGGAAAAGCCAAGGATGAAAAGGCTTATTTACCTTCGGCTTGCTACACATTGTCAAGGGTAGAAAAAACAGATGTTTTGTGCATGTCTGTACGACATTAAGGTTCCATCAGGGTACGCATCTAACATGAAAAGATTTGTATCCTTAATTGGAGAATTGAAGCTGACAAGTATGAAATCCCACGATTGTCACGTTATGATGCAAGTATTCTTACCAATTGCAATACGAGGTATTTTACCATAGCACGTGAAGGAAGCTATTACAAGCCTTTGTTCGTTTTTCAATATAATATGCAGCAAAGTGCTTGATCCTTGTACACTTGATGCTTTTTTGCAGGCGGATGTGGTTGTGACTTTGTGCAAATTTGAGATGTACTTCCCACACTCATTTTTTGTCATAATGGTGCATCTGATTCTTTATTTAGTGCATGAGATTAAGTTGTGCGGTCCACTGTTCATGAGGTGGTGCTATCCTTTTGAAAGACACATGGGTACATTGCAAAATAAAGTAAGGAATCGAGCATACCCAGAAGGAAGTATGATTCAAGGGACCGTGGGTGACGAGATTGGTAATTTTATGGCTGACTATATAGCTGTTGCTGAACCTATTGGTCTTCCTACTTCTCGACATGAAGGGAGACTTGATGGTCATGGCACAATCGATTCGAAACGAATGTCACCTGACCGAGATAAGTTCTTACAAGCACACCTATACGTGTTGCACCATGTTGTAGATGTCCATCCATATTTAGACGAGCACATGGTCAGTTTGCGTGATGAATTTTCATAAAAAGTTGAAAGGGCATTGATGCAATTGCATAATAAGAGGTTTGTGAGTTGGTTCCGTGATCGAGCGATGGGTCGATTGGATGAGAGTGTCACTGATATAGTAAGGTGGCTTGCTTATGGTCTTAGGGATGATGTTCGCTCATTTGAGGGATATGACATAAATGGGTACACTTTTTGGACTGAGCGTTAAGATTTGAAATCTTCCTCGACCCAAAACAGTGGTGTAACGCTTATGGCATCGTCAAGGGAGTTTGCAAGTGCTAAGGATAAATCACCCGTTGTTTTATGCAGAGTTGTCATACTATGGTCGAATTCAAAAAATATAGGAGCTTGATTATTGTAACTTCACTGTTGCTCTTTTCCAGTGTAAGTGGGTTGATAATATCAAGCGTAACGTCAAATATGATGACTTTACTCTTGTAGATCTTGGCCACCTGAATGATAGTGCGGAACCATTCATCCTTGCATCTCAAGCTAAGCAAGTGTTCTACGTAACTGACCCAGTCGATCCAAAATAGTCTATTGTGCTAGCTGGCAAAAGAAGAATCCTAGGCATTGGAGATGTTGAGGATGAGGAAAAATATGATGCGTTTGATCATTCAGCACCTTTCACTGTTCCTAGACCTGTTGTACCAAATAACATAGACGACCAAGCAAACTATATGCGATCAGACCCCAACGAAGGAATATTAGATTGAGGTACTATTCTTTAAAATTTTGAAATTGTAGGCATTGAAAGTATTATAAAAGCACAAGTTAGGTGATTTAAAGATTATTTTGGTGAAAATGAATGAAAGTGTTAACTTACTTGCCCATTTTTCACATTTTCTTTTAAATGAATGAAGTAACTTTTAAAAATTTTGAAATATGGAATAAAAATGATCTATATGTTAACTTACTTGCCCATTTTCTATGTTGATTTGTACTGTAATTCATAAATTTATATTTGATTATAAGTTTACCTAACAAATTTATTTATATTACAACTAATAACGTGTTATGTTTGTAATGACATGTGTTTATATCTCATGGAGGACGATCAGGACCTTCATTATGTAGAGGATATGGAGGATGATGATGATGATTTCCAAGGATGAGGATGAGCTTTATGATGTCAACAAGGAGAATGATTTGGGTGAGCCAAAAGATCAGGCTCAGGATGAGTTTGAGCGTAAGCTTGATGAATTTGAAATTTCAGCTGAACGTGCGCCTCGTATTGAAAATGCAATTTCTGAGATGGTTGGTGAGAATCCTACTCCCCAAACTCAAAGCCAAGGACAATGTCAAATGAACAGCACATGTGGTGGAGGGGGGGTGAAGGCACCGGCTAAGAAAAAGGGTAAGGGTCCGACGACAAGTTTCAAGAAACCCGTCGGTCCCATGGTCCTGGAGTATGACAAGGTAGGCCAACCTACGGGCAAATGGCGTCGTCAATATGCTGTTCACGTTAGCATATGCGCGCGCAAAATCCGTATTACACTTGGTTGGCGGCAAGTATCTCCAGGCTTGATTCAAACATTTTGGAATGATACAAGGGCAAGTGTTTTGTTGGCACATTTACACAATTATAAATACCTTCACCTTATTATTATTTAAAAGGTGAAACTAATAATTGCTTCTATTTATGCTTGTAGAGTCTGTTTAATATTCCTAATGATGCCGCCAAGTAAAGGGTGTTTGAATCTATACAAGTGGAAAGATTTAGAGGCTTCAAGACCACTTTAGTTCGTGGGTGGATCACTAAGAGAGTTGTGAGAAAACCAAAGAAGAAGAAATCTTACAAGGGAAAGGATAATGGAAGTGGAAATGATGAAGTTATCGCACAAGAGCAATTCCCATGGAAAAAATGGCCAAGCGTACCGAAGGACGATTGGGAAGCTTTTGTTCTTCAAAGAAGTCAAAAGGAAGCAATTGTAAGTTTGGGTAAATCTGATGACAATTGTATAATATATTGACTTTTTGAAGTGATACAAACATTTCTAATTATGTAGGATTTGCGGGAGCCAAATTCCAAAAATGCATTGTAGAGGCAATACACCCATCGTATGGGGTCTAAGACATTTGGTGAAGAGAGGGAAATGTGGGTGAATGAGGGAGTATACCCCACTTTGCTTCTAGGGTCATCGAAAGAACCCTTTGATTCCACGATCACTACGTTGGTGAGTCGTGCTGGCGATTTCATTTGTTCTCTGCATGCACGTGACAAGGAAACCGGAAAATGGGTCATCAAGGCTCCGGAAACCAAAGAAATGACAGATAAACTTGTAAGCTAACTATGAACTTGTGAGCTTTATGAAGATTTTGCATAAATATCATTATACAAAAGCAGTAAATATATTCATGTTACCTTTTTTATTTTGCTACAGCTTGAGTACACTGAAGAACTGGTTAAAGGCAAGCTCGTCCCAACTGTAGAAAAAGACCCTTTCACCTTGGGTTTGGGAAAGCCCTACCATCCAGGATGGGTATTAGGAGTGGGAGGGACATTACTAGGATGGGAAAAGGTGATGGGTGCAGAATACACCAAATCAGAAAGATCTCGAGCAAGTGTTAATTCACCACATGACTTAGATGCCAAGGTGGCATCAATTAAGGAACAAGTGCGCAACGAGATAGTAGGTGAATTCAATGCTTGGGCGAAGCAAATGAACTTACCGAGCTTGTCGTTTCCCTCGACTACACCAGTCGACTCATTTAGTCACCCACAAGGACAAGGAGAAGATGAGATACATGGAGAAGATGATGAGATACACGTTGTAGTTTCAAATCTATTAGTTTTGTCATATTGAGTTACGTTAGATCTAAGGTCGCATTATTATTTTACTATTACAGGTTGGTACTCCTACACATGCGGACTCGAGGGAGCTCATAATCCAACACCTCATAAATTTCAAGATTTACAGGTGATTTGTTTAGTTCTAGCGTAGTGAATTGTGTAAGAAAAGACCCCTTGTGATATGTTTGGTTCTTATAAGTGATCTTCCAAATTGGTGTAGGAAGAGACCCCGGGGCTATCAAACAGTGGAACTTTGTATTTGGTGGCGTATGCTAGTGCACAACCGACGTGTGGTACTGTCCATTTGCGACCGCTTCGGCCACAACATTACTCGGTAGGGATCAATTCTGTGATTGCGGGGTTTCAGGACATCCGACTACCGATGCCCGTAGAGGAGGATGGAATTACTACACTTTGGGAAGCAAAAGGTACCTTTGTGCAATGGCCATGTGCTTGGTTAAGGTTGATCAACGAGGTAAGATTTTAGGTTCACTCTTTACTCTATGTCCGATTGTCTTCCTAAGAGTTGGATGGATTCCTTTTCTAACCAATTGCGTGATTTGTTTTATCAAATTTCGAATAAAAGCCAAATTTCAATGAAAAGGAGGGTGGAGAAGCCTAAAAGCATTGATCAACCTACAAAGAAGATAAGTGAACAACGGTCGAAGAGTGAACAAGCGTCGAAGAAGAACTCTTCGAGAGGTTCAGCCATGCAAGCTACTCCACTTGTTGGAGGCACGGTCCTTGAATCGCTCTCTAAGAATTTAACTTTTCTACACAATTGTGTTAGTATGTTGCCTAGTGACATTCCCATTGAAGTTGCACTACCTAAGGCATTGTTCCACTATGATGAGGATGCAATTGCATGGATTAGCAAAGACGATGTGAAGGAATTTCTAAGTGTTTCAATGATTAAAATTTCCCTCATTCAAACATTCATGAGGTAATTCAATGCTACTGGTGATTTATGTTTCCAATAACTCAATTTTCCTATTTGATTCAGCTCGATTGTCTCAGCCAAAAAAGTTGCTCGTGAAGGCCATACTACAAAAGTAAATATAGCTACCTAGTGTTGATTACCATTACCTAACTCATTTATTAGTCATACTAATCAAATTTGAACTTAGTTTTCTATAGTGTTATGAAGAAGCTAAATTGTCGAGCTCGTGAAGGTCCTACATGGAAATCACCAATGGTAATGCCACATGATATTGTGATTTTCGTAATAAAAAATGCGTAAGATGTTGCTAATTTGCTATGCATATTTGATTCATATACTTTTTTCCTATGCTAGTGTGCACAACAAGATAACGGAGTTGATTGTGGTTAGCCTATACGTGATGAGATTCATGTTTGAAATAGTGAGTCGTTGTACGAACACACTACAACTTGATGAGGCATGCCATTGACGTAGTTAATTTTCTCTTTTCATGTGATTTGATAAGAAACGTAGGAAATAGGCAAAGTAGTAGTCACATAGGCCATATTTGGGATATTTTGGATGAAAATGCGTCCTAAAACCCTTGAATTGCTCTATTCATGTGATTTCAAGCCTTAGCCGCCTAAAACTATGTAATATTGACATGTTATGAGAAAGAATGAGTTCATTTGATATGAAATAAAGTTATCATTACACTTTTTCTAGACAATTTCTAATATCATGATGACTCAATTCACCACAACCTCTACATAATCTCTTCTTTTTCTGGTTTTGTTTTATAGCCTTTTCTTTTTCTCCCTTCAGCCTTTTTGCACTTTTACCTCTTGTTTCAACATTTGGCACATCAATATCAGCCCCTTTCTTTTTTGAAGTCTCTTCATTTGATACATGAACTCCAGTCCCTTTATTCTTTGAAATTTTTGGAGGTTTGACAATTATTTCAGTTGGAACACTAGCTCCAATCAATAGCTCAATGTCTTGTCCTTTGTTGTTTGCACTTCCAGCTGTTGTTTCATTATTTCTTACAATCCTCTTAGCCTCCAAATCCTTTCTTATTCCTTGAAGATTTATCACAAGGTCTTGAATATCTTCATCTTTGCCTTCTGCCAAACTTACACAAGTGTGTATCTCTGACCATAAATTATTTAACAATTTTTTCTTGTCAATTAAATTAGCACATTCCTCCAACAGGTTTCCACCCAAGTCAAAAATTGGTTTCTTCAGTGCCAAAGTAGTCCATCTGTGTAGCATATACTGCTCAGGAATGGTTTCAAACCTTTTTGCTTTCCAAACCCAAATCATATGTCTACATGGAATTCCTTGTCTATAAAATAGCTTGCAAGAACATGTGGTGTCATAGTTAGTTGGATTAAACACAACATCAAATGTTCTAATCCGATTTCCTTCACTTACTTTTGCAACTTCCAATCCATTTTCTTTCTTCAATTCATCACCACCACAAGAAAAACAAGCAATTTCAACTTCATATTGAAATTCATAAAAGACAGAGTTAGTATATAAATGTGAGGCATGCTTTTCTATCCCTAGTGGTGTTTTGCACTCAGGAATTTGTTCTTTGAATCATTATCTGAACAAGTGACACATGAGGATTGATAAAGGAGCAGAAAAAGTTGTTTTCACTTTCGGATCTTGATGTTGTACGCATTATTCCTCCAAGGAACACATCTCTGAAATACGCCGGAATCCACTTGTCCCTTATCTTGTACATATAACCTAACCACTCATGTTCTTCCAAGTGGTATTCAACCATCACCTTGTTCAACCTTTCTTCAAACTCAGCGGGTTCAAATTCAAGATGCCAAACGCAAGCACATATATTTTTTAGGAAACCAGTTTCTTCTTGCATGATTGATTTCTCCACCTTATCTGGTAACTTTTTCATTATGTGCCATATACAAAACCAATGTTTGGTCTTCTTAAACACACTTTTAACAGCAATTTTCATTGCTAGATCCTGATCCGTGATAATACAATTAGGTTCATTCCCACCCATTGCCTTGAGAAATGATCTAAACAGCCACTCAAATGACACAATATCTTCCTTTGCTATGAAACCAACATCAAAGGTAATGCAGCTCTTATGATGGTCAACCCCTGTAAATGGAGTAAACACCATGTTGTACCTGTTTATACAAACAGATTAAATTTTAAATGAGTAAATAATGCAATGCTCATTTGTGAAATAAACAAACAATTCTTTGCTCTTTGTCAAATGAGCAAATAACTCAATTCTCATTTGTCAAATGAGCAAATAACTCAATTCTCATTTGTCAAATGAGCAAATAACTCAATGCTCATTTGTGAGATAAACAAACAATTCTTTGCTCTTTTGTCAAATGAGCAAATAACTCAATGCTCATTTGTCAAATGAGCAAATAATTGAATGCTCATTTTTCAAATGAGCAAATAACTCAATGCTCATTTGACAAATGAGCAAATAACTCAATGCTCATTTGTGAAATAAGAAAACAATTCTTTGCCCATTTGTCAAATGAGAAAATAATTCAATGCTCATTTGTCAAATGAACATGCAATTCAATGCCCATATACATACTCTTATCAAAGAAAATTAGACTTATGGGGATATTCACTTTTCACATTGAAGTAAGCAAACAATTATACTAAGTTCATTTAAAACAAAGTCATTAAGTTAAGCCATAGTTATAACATAGAATGAATTGTGATTATTATGTATTACCTATTGGTTTGGTATGTGGTATCAAAGGATACCATATCACCAAATAGAGCATAACTCTTTTTACAAAGGGGGTCTGCCCACAATGCTCTACAAAGGCAATAATCTTCATCCATCTCAAAATCAAAGAAAAAAACACTCCACATTAGCTTTTTGTTGGTAAAATTATCCACGAACATTTGAGCATCGCTTCCTTGAATGTATGCTTTAAATCTCTATGAAATTTTTTGAAATCTTGCTTAGATGCACCTATGTTATCATATCCTCCAACAATTTCCTTCATCATTCGAAAAGTTGTAACAGGGCCAATATTCACCTATTTAAAGAACAAAACAGTTTGTCAAATGAGCAAACAATTTAATGCTGATTTTTCAAATGAACAAACAATTCAATGCTCATTTTTGAAATGAGCAAATAATTATTTTCTCATTTGTCAAATGAGCAAACAGCTTTTATTAGAACATATAGAGAATTCATGAAACATAAGAGACTTTGAAAGTGTTACCTTAGAATTATTCATAATTATTTTTTTGTGCAATATGTTCATTTTCCTTCCTTCTTTTTGGAAGTGATTGCAACTAAGTGTATAAAGTGCATGAGTATGTCCCTCATGAAATTGTGACACTATGAATTTGTTATCATCACAATGCTTTATGACAATATGTGCCTTGCACCCAGCACGAGTAATGAGTCTCTTCCTTTTGATTGAAGCTTTTTCTTCTGAGGTAAATTCTGAGGCCAAAGGCCAGATTTTATCTTAAACCAACCACCTGCTTCAACATGAGCAGGCATCCGGCGATGCCCCTTTGGGTGAAATCATCGAAGAGAACATCTCCCATTTGGGTGGTACATTGTTTTATCAAAACGTACAAGCGGCTAAAAACTAACCTTCCAGGTTAAAACATTTGCTTGAATATGCAATTGAAATCGAGATACCTCATGTTGCTCCCAAGTGGCATAGACGGTTCCCGAAATCTCGATCTGAAATACACGGCAAGTGCTCAAAAGCATTACAGCCGGACTTTCGCCAACCACTTCACCTAAAAAGAAAGGTTGAGATGCAACGCTTGAGATGCAGCCACTTTAAGGCGCTCAGCCGATTATTAACCCAATACCATTTAATTGACTTTGACCCAATCGCACGTCGCCCAAAAGTGGCACAGCCGGTACTTATGGTCCGGATCAGGTAAAACCGGTTCTCACTCAAAGGTATTGCAGCCGGTCAAAGACTAATTACCCGAAGGGTATCAAACAGTTGGATAAGCGATGGGCATGAGCAACTTCCGTCTACTATCCCTACTTAGCCAATTCAGCGACTCTCAATATAGTCAAGGGACCGCCTGTTTATTCCCCGGATGCTCGTTTGCACGGCTACGTGCTTAGAGTAGGACAGCTACCACGCACACAACCGTCTAGGGGCAAGGAAGCTCACACATCCGGGATATTGCATACAAACCAGAAATGCAAAAAATTGAAAATGCAAAAAATTGAAGCAAACGAAAATTGAAATTAACACACAGTAAATAGAAATTAAGCCGACTCATCTGGAAAATGTACAAATTGGCGTATAGCCGGGTCCTTGGAGGCGGCTTCAGGAGCAGGAGGGGCAGGGGTCTCTTCAACTTGGACCGCCTAATTTTCAGCTCGGGCTTCTTCATCCCTGTCGGCGCCCATTTCCGCCTACATAGCCTCGATTTCCTTCTTGGCCCATACCTCTTACGGCTCCGGTGCCGGCTGGTTTGTTTCCTGGGCCAAAATGGCAAGATCTGCGTATTTTTAGGCTAGCTCCCAGACGGCATAGTCTGCCTCCGGATGAACCAGGGACCAAGCCATTTGCATACGGTTTTCGCAGTCTTACTCATTCTCCTCAATGAGCCAGCTCTGTTCAGCTTCCAAGGTGGTTTGGAAGTTCTGACTGGCGGAAGCTGCCTCCTTCTTCAGGCGGATGTTCTCAGTTAGCAGCGAGGAGTTCTCCTTCTTGGTTGCCTCCAAAAGCTTGAGGGAATCCGCCGCCTTCTTCACCTCCTCTTCAGCATTTTCTTTCTCCGCCTTGAGGTTATGAATCTTTGTATGGGCTTCATTGAGGGACTTTTGAAGCGTTTTGATGGAGTCCGCCTGTTGCATGATTATGCTTTTAGTTTCTAAGTCATGCACAATCATGGAATATAGGGCAACATCATGGGCCTCAGACGCATCTCGTTTAGCCCGTCTTACCTCCTTTTGCTTCCTAGCATAAGCCTTCTTAAGCCCTTCCACGCGCAGCATGAACTGCAAAGGCACAGACGGTGTTAGAAGGTCAAACGGTCTAATAACTTTGAAACATTTAGTTGGAGAAACATACCTCAGCCAGGCTGACCATGACCCGGTCAGCATTGAAGGTGTTGATCCCCGGGATCGCCTCCTTCTCTTCTTTCGGAATGGCCTTCAGCATGGCCCGGGCGTACTATTGTACATCTGGCTAGTGAGGGCAGAGATCTGCACCAGAAAGAGACGGTGAGAGAGCTACATACGTCCCTCCTATTGACTGCTGGCTACCAGTAGAATCTTCCGGCTGGAGCTGGGAATGTGACTTGACCCGCATGGGCTTGCCAAACAAAGAGGGGTTGAAGGGTTCTACTGTACCTTGAGAGATAGGTTGAGAGCCTTGATGGCCCTCAACCAGCGCAGAAGCGTCTAAAGCCCTTGGCGGCGCAACCTCCCTGGATGCCTCTGGGACATCCGATTATCTGGAGGCTAGATCAAACCCCAGACTAGTATTCTTTACAGTCTTTCCCCCAACTGTCAGACGGCTGGCCACCGCTTGTGTGGAGGTTTTGCGTGACTTATTTGACACGGCTACCTCCTCTCCCGGTCGGGGCCAGATCAGCTTGGTCAGAGACCGAGGCGCCTTGCTCCCCTCCTAAGTCAAAAAGATAAGTATAATGATCAGCCGGTATATACTTCAAAAATACGCAAGACTAGGGAAAGGGCGCATGTACCTTGTTTTTTGCCGCCTGGGTAGCTTTTTTCTTCTCTGCATTCTCCTTGCGGATTTCGGCGGCTGATTTTGCAGGCGTCTTGTGTGGGGGCAACATTGCCAAAGCGTTTACTGCAGAAAAGAAACCGTCTGATTAGAGAAAGATGATAAAGAATGTTAAAAGCATAAAATAGCTAAAGTGGCATAATAGAGCCGGGTGCTACTGCAACCTACATTTTTTAAACTGGGTGCTTAACCCACAGGCAGATAAGAACGCCTCATCTCACAGGAACTCATGTTTGGGTATCCAATTCTTGGGCACGCTTATTAGTTCACCGGTTGAGAGGGCGGTTGTGGTGAGTTCAAAGAACCCTCCCTCTATTATCCTCTCATAGTCCTCATCCGGGACTCGGGGCATCTTACATTTTTGCCCAAGAAGCTCGGGCTTCCGGTTGTAGGTCCTGAACTCTCGATTCTCCTCTTTGGTAGGAGCAAAAACTAGATAGAACCTGTTCTTCCAGTCTGACCACTTGGACGGTTTGTCCAGTGTCATCAAGTACTAGGGGTAGGTGGTCAGAGTATACCAGGCTCTCCACCCGCTTGGGCTCCTACTTAAATAATGCATGTGAG